TGTCTGAATACAGCAAGCATTTTCGATGAAACCTAAATCCTGATTTTATTGATCAGAATTGACTAAATTGGGTTATTTTTCCCCCAATTGAAACCTAGAAAATTGCAAAATTTATTTCAATAAGGGAAACCTGCAAAACACTTTTAAAGTTCTGGATCTAGATTAATTTATGCATCCATTTCCAGAAATAAATCTGACTACTTTATTTGTTACATTAAAGTATTCAGTGCTTAGTTTATTGTTGAACAGGTAAAGGAAAAATGTTTTTGGCCCTCAAGTCCTTCTGACTTTATGATTTTGGCTCATGTTGCAAAAAGTTTGGACACCCCTGTGTTATAACCAGTACTTCCAGTAAAATTAGTCATTTAGACATAAAAAAAAAAGTTGGCAAAGTTGTCTAAAATGTTATAGTGTGACAGGAGCTTAAAAGGCTTAAGATGCACTTAGTCCTGTCATAAAACAATTTCAGATAACTGGAATGTAAGTGTAGTGAAGCAAAATAAATGTAATATCTGCCTGCCATACAATGAGCTCCTGCTGCTGAACTTATCAGCTGCTGCTCTCTGAGCAGAACTGTTACATTAACAAGATGGATTTATGACTGAACGAACATCCACATCTTTTTATCATCTCTGTGGGTAACAATACATTAAAAACACGTTTTTTCTTCGACAACTTGGGTTTAAAAAACTACGGTTGTTAAAGCTTCGCTCTGCTTGACGTGCAGCGGGAGGGAGGAGGAAATGATCCTGTGACACGACATAACTTTTCTACAGCAGGAGGGGGACATTTTGAGGATTTAAATACTACGTTTCTTCATTTATTTTCAGAGTATTTCAAACTGCTCCTGCTCAGCTGTCTCTGCACTCACAGCCCTTACACTTTATTATATATTTTGTTATCTGCTTTGACTTGCTTTAAAAACAAACGTCAAAAGTTTTTCTTTTACAGATTTGTTGTAATGTATTTACAGATTTGCAACAATCCCATTGTACAGTTTGTTTACGTTTTGATTCAACTGCCTGTCGTTTGAACTGTGTTTGGTGGATGTAAATATACAAACATACAAGATTCTTAGCTTTATATTGATACCAAACACGTCAAGTTTCAACTTACAGACCTTAAGTTAAACAAAGTTAAAAGAAATAGAAAAGAGGAAATGCAGTTTTGGAGGCTCAAGAGGTTAATATAAAAACTTGTGTGTGAGAGGCTGAAGTTCTCCAATCGGCCACACGGAGGCAGTAAAGTCACGCTCACCTCTTCGTCGCTGTGCCTGATGATTGGCAGGTAGAAGAACTGGCTGCCGTGCTCTTTGGGCAGGATGGAATTGATGCCGGCGGTGTGTGGTCCGGTCAGCTGCTCGTTCACAGTCAGATTATCTGCTGATGGTTCAAATGAAAAACTGTWAGAATCTCTGAAACACAAAACTTCAGGTGAAACTTTTCTGCCCAGCACACCGTTTAAGTCCAGGAAGAGGACAGGAATGTGAGCTTCCATCCCTGCAGGCGGAGTCCTGCGAGCAGATTATTACAGTTAAAAGTGAAAAAGAGTCACAAGCGTTTGTGTTTTTCTGTTCATCCCCTCACCAGTCTGCAGGAGCGCCCGGGATGCCGCTGCTCGGCGCCGGCACCAGCACGGCGTTCCTCTCCTCGGTCAGGCCGACCCACTGCTCCACCAGCCGGGCTTCTCGCTCCATGTCCTCCTCGGACTTCTCTGCTCACATGCAGAGGGGAAGACCGCTTTCATCACAACAAGCCTGACTGCTTCCTGTCAGCCACACGGAGAGGGGGTGGGGCTAAATATCTCACCGTGTTTGTGGATGATTCTCTTGATTTGTTCGTCCAGATACTCCCGACGTTTGATGAGAGCGTCTGACCAGCGCTCCCTGAGGCAGTTCAGATCCTCTTCCTGTAACAAACAGGGTCAGGGGGTCAAGTCATAACCATATATACACTCACCGGCCACTTTATTAGGTACACCACGCCAGTAACGGGTTGGTCCCCCTTTTGCCTTCAGAACTGCCTCAATTCTTCGTGGCATAGATTCAACAAGGTGCTGGAAGCATTCCAGCACCTCCAGACCAAAATCCAGAGATTTTGGTCCATATTGACATGATGGCATCACACAGTTGCCGCAGATTTGTCGGCTGCACATCCATGATG